GCTCTGAGCAGAATATTAAGTGTAAAAAATGAATTTTTTTTTAAATTCATGTTTAGCCTGTATGTGTACACACTGTAATGAAGCTTTGTTTTGACTAGCTTAATTAAAAGCTCTTGCTGAGTGTGTGACTAATTGGCTTGATAAATGACATTATTAAAGAGCTGAACATCTTAACTGCATCTCTTTCCAGAAAACATCCGTTTGGACATCCGTTGCTGGCTCGAAGACAAACAAGCAAATGTAATTTGTTATCTAAAACTCCAAAGAGCAACAGCTCCGGACACCAGTCAGCTGATTATTAGCCTGCGGCGAGTAGCGTGAGTCTTCTGTTTGTCTATATTTCCTCTGACTGTTTAACCTGTATGCTGGTATAATAATGTATTTGTGTTTGCAAGACATAGCTCAGAGGTGGAACACATTGATGGACTTTCTTTATAAGCACATACAGTGGGGTGACACACTATGTTCATAGTTTGGCTTTTTTTATTTTAAATGTAGACACTTTTATTTCTCAGTGGTAAAGACATATGTCCATATTTCTCACACCTACATGGCAGTTTAGTGAAATTGGGGTATAAAACATCAAATGTAAGCATTTATAGGAAAGTAGTCTCTGCCATATACAGTCCTTGTGAGGAATGAGAATTTTATAAAAGTCAGTTAATAAAAAAGTCAGTTATTAAATTTCACACATCCCGGTGATAATGCTTTTGTGATTTTCTGTTTCAGACTGGGGTCGGATACTTTGTCAGATGAAACAAACATCACTACTCAGGTGCAGTGTCCTGGCGAAGATGAGATTACATGCTATTTTGCCCTTCATGCCAACGATGTCTCTATGTCATTGTCTGTTAGTGGATTTCTCAGTGGTCGTCCTTTACTGATACCCGAGATGCACATCAGCACTGACCTGCTGCGTAAGTATCAGATAAAAGTTTTTCCATATAATCCCTAATAATTGACTGTACTAAACTTTACTCTAGGTTCTGTGCTAATCATTTAACAATACATCATATAAAACCAAATAAAAATAATACACAACACAGCGATGTTGTCACAACTTTCGCCGTGTGCTTTTGTTTTTGTTTTTGTTCTAGTCCTGTTTCCACTCCTGTCCTGTCACTGGTTTGTTACCTGATTGTGTCCACCTGTTTTTTTTTTTATTACTCCTTTATTTATTTGTCTTTGTATACCCTGCTGTTTCCTTGCCTCATTGTGAAATCGTGAAAGATTTTTAAAATCTTTAAGTCTGTTCTTCATTTTCTTGTTTCCTGTTTCCACATTCTGTTTTTTTGTCTCGTGCCTGTTTTGACCTTTTTTATTTGTTGCCTTCTTGTGTAGTCAGCCATGATATGAACTATGATTTTGATTTATGGATGCACCCTAATAAAACATGCTGAGCACCCGCACTTGCATCCTGCCTCATTCGCCCGCATGCTATGTCTTGCTAGTTACAGAGGTACACTAGGCATGAGTGTATGGGAGTGAAGCTCTCAGCAGGCAGAGCTAAGACTATAGTACTATAATTTGAAGAACATACAATACTTTGCTAACAGAAAATCTCTAGACACCTATGTGCTAATTTAGCTAAAGCTCCTGAGTGTTTTCCCTTCTAACATTCCTGGCTTTCTGGGGATACATGCACATACATACAATTCCTCTCTTGCTGCTAATTCTATTTATGCTTTATAAGAATTTAGGAGAAGGAAGTTTCTATTCTAAGCTTTTATGTCTTTGACACACTTCTCTGTTTTGCAGAGATGTCCTGCTAAATCTGGCCAAATTGAAACACTCAGATAATTATGTGTGATCAGTGTAAAAGTGAAAGACAAATATAATGTGTGATGTGATGAATAAGATGCTACAAAGTAACAGCAGGGTATACTCAGATGAACTAATCATGGAGTAACACAGAACAGGTGAACACAATCAGGTAACAAAACCACCAACAGTACAGGATCAGAGATACAAGGCATTCGTCACCATGGGACCCACAGCTCCATGTCCAACAGTCTCCTACCAATATAGTCACTCTCCCTCCTCTGAACATGTCCAAACCATCTTAATCTGGCCTCCCTAACTTTGTCCCCCAAACATCCAACATGAGCTGTCCCTCTGATGTACTCGTTCCTAATCCTGTCCAACCTTGTCACTCCCAAAGAGAACCTCAACATCTTCAGCTCTGCTATCTCTAGCTCTGACTCCTGTCTCTTCCTCAGTGACACTGTCTCTAAAACATACAGCATGGCCGCTCTCACCACTGTCTTGTACACCTTCCCCTTGATTATCGCTGATATTTTTCTATCACAGAACTCCCGACACCTTTCTCCACCCATTCCAACCTGTCTGCACTCGCTTCTTTACCTCTTTCTCACACTCTCCATTACTCTGGACTGTTGACCCCAAGTACTTAAACTCCTGTACCTTCTTCACCTCTTCTTCCTGTAATCTTACTGTTCCACTTCCCTCACTTTCATTCACACACATGTACTCAGTCTTTCTACAACTGACTTTCATTCCTCTTCTCTCCAGCGCAAACCTCCACCTCTCCAGGTTTTCCTCCATCTGCTCCCTGCTCTCACTACAGATCACAATGTCATCCGCAAACATCATTGTGCAAGGAGACTCCTATCTGACCTCCTCTGACAACTTGTCCATCACCATAGCAAACAGGAAGGGGCTTAGAGCCGATCCCTGATACAGTCCCACCTCCACTTTGAACTCCTCTGTCTGACCTACAGCACACCACACCACTGTCCTGCTCCTCTCATACATGTCCTGCACCACTCTGACATACTTCTCTGCTACTCCTGACTTCCTCATACAGTACCACAGCTCTTCTCTTGGCACCCTGCCATATGCTTTCTCCAAGTCTACAAAGACACAGTGCAACTCCCTCTGACCAAAAATTGCATCTGTTGTGCTCTTTCTGGGCATGAAGCCATACTGCTGCTCACAAATTTCCACTACCTTCCTTAACCTAGCTTCCATTACTCTTTCCCATAGCTTCATTGTATGGCTCATCAACTTTATCCCCCTATAGTTGCTGCAACTCTGCACGTCACCCTTATTCTTAAAGATCGGCACTAATACACTACTTCTCTATTCCTCAGGCATCTTCTCATTCTCTAAAACCCTGTTAAAGAAACTATTTAAAAATTCCACTACTGACTCTCCTAAACACTTCCAGACCTCCACCGGGATGTCGCCAGGACCAACTGCCTTTCCACTTTTCATCCTCTTCAAAGCTTTCCTGACTTCATCCTTTCTAATCTTATCTACTTTCTGTTCTACGGAGGTCACCCCTTCTACTCTTTTTTTCCTCTCGTTTTCCTCATTCATCAGCTCTTCAAAGTACTCCTTCCATCTCCTCTGTACACTCTCCTCGCTTGTGAGCACCCTTCCATCTCTACCCTTAATAACTCTAACTTGCTGCACATCCTTCCCATCTCGATCCCTCTGCCTAGCTAACCTGTATAAGTCCTTCTGTCCTTCTCTAGTGTCTAACCTAGTGTACAACTCGTCATATGCCTCCTGCTTGGCCTTAGACACCTC